TTCATCCTCGGTTAGTTATGCCAACAGCATTTCTATTGAAGAAGATCTCAAACTTACAAATTGCTTCTGTTAGAAACTTTTAAATTTCACATATTTTTTCAAGATTTCCAGAATTTTCACGTCTTCCCAGCGTGCTCATCTTTTATATTTAATTATATCTTACATCTTCTAAAAAAAAGTTAATTGACTTAATACTTTTTTACTTATAAACCCAGCCTGTATTTCCTCATCTGAAATCGTCACCTATCTATCAATCTATCTATCTATTTGTCTATCTATCCGAAATATTTACCAACATTTTTTTTACTTTCATTCTTTCTTTCTCATGGCCTGCCACTATGTTTTTCTTTTTCTCTTTTGTGCAAAGATTTTTCAATTTCATCGTGACTAAGTTAGTCATTTTTGCTTTATTTTTGTGACATATTGTTGTCGTACATTTAGATTCTGACGTGAGTCGTATGACACACAGCAAATCAACAAAGCAGACGACAGAGAAGAACGTGGCTGTTACATTCACAGACCCTCCCTCCCTCAAAATCACATTCTTTCGTTCTTCTTTCCGTTCCTCAACAACTGTTTTCATATTTACTTTTATTTTTAGCCGTGAACTTCCAGGGTTTTTTTTTTCTCCTTACAAAGACGTCAAAGTATTGCTGGTGTTGGTCACGAGGTGGCAAGCTACAGTCTGCGTGTCCTACAGCGAAGGAAAGGCGCCACCTTGAACACTTTATTAGATTAGATTTTAAATAACTTTTCTCATTATAACCGTTTACAGGAATTACCTAGTCGCACACGCATATCAAGTATGTAAATATAAGTATTTGTCTACACACAACAATTAAGATATACATACATACATACATACATTTCACACACACACACACACACACACACACACACATATATATATATATATAAATATATACATTTTATATGAGATACATTTTAATTTGTTGATCAAGGTATCTTAATAAACTTAATAATACCTCTAACAAAATTGATAATAATAATAATAATAATAATAATAATAATAATAATAATAATAATTGTGTACGTCAAAATAGACATAACGCTATTAACTGTATCAATTGTAAAATAATTAAAACAATTAACTTTCATAGTCTCTAATAACCCTACAGCCAACTAAACGGTTATTTCTTTTTTATTATTTGGGCATCCATAATTTTTAATCGATTTTTTCTACATGTGTGTGAGGTTATTATGCTTGCGGATAGGTGTAACGTAAGTCGTCTGGATATATATATATATGAAAAAAATAGAAAAAAAAATTCTGAATATGCATTATTAATGTTAAAATATAAAGTCGACGTCGGACGTTTCGGTCTATTTAAGAATCTTCATGGACATGGTCATTTAAACATAATTAATTGTGACGTACGTTTAACGATGGACAAAAATATTCAGAATTTTCATCCATTTTTCTGTATTTTTCTTCATACATAATCCATATATTTAACTGTATATCCATATATATATAATATATATATATATATATATATATATATATATATATATATATATATATATATAATATATAATATATGTGTGTCTAAGTGTGTGTGTGTCAATTCCCCTAGAAATGTTAGGCGCAGAGAACGATCTTCGTCGAGGTCAATTCAGGATTAATATAATGTAAAGATGGAAAAATAAAAATTAGAATTATTATACATTCAACATTTGAAGAGTTATAGAAACATACTGACTAATTATGTTAACCAATATGAATAAATGCAAAACTGGAGTTCAGTTCTCCAAGAATTCTGAAATTAAAAGCCCTAGGGTTGACGATATTTATTTTACATAAAATACAAATATGGCACAAGGCAAGGCAAAAGGGGTTGAGGCTGGTCTTCACTAACTATCTTATATATACGTAGCTAATCCAATTCGACCCATTCATTCGTTGCAATTTGCATATTCACCACAAAACTCGTCCATCACAATCAATCCTCCATACACCATAATACCGCATCCTCTCAGGTGGGTGGAGGAACCTAAAAACGCACCAAAATTTAAAAAAAAGCCCCTGGTTGACTTTATATTATTAACCCGCATGTGTGCACAAGGCCGAGTTTAAAGTGGGGTATCCGAGTCTGTAGGCTCGGGCAAAATAAATAGACCACGTAAAAAAGAGTCAGTTTCGGACGAGACTCTGCCTTCGGCAAAAAGCCATCTGGCAGATAAATCGTTCATAAGCCAGGTACCCAGGTTGACTTTGACTTATAGCGATTTTTCTAAGCGCTGCTTATATGGCACAAGGCCGGAAGTATGGAGCACCCAGAGGATTGAACTCACTACTCAGTCGTAATATGTTCTAGCGAGACAAGCTTGCTAACCATTACACCACGTCGAGGTGCCCCCAGGTTGACTTTATAATGATTTTCCAAGCGTAACTTGGATGTGGCACAAGCCCGAAAGTAAGGTACACCCAGTGAGGATCGAACTCACTACTCAGTCGTAGTTGATCTATATTACACCGCCTCGAGGTGCCCACACCGCCTCGAGGTGCCCACACCGCCTCGAGGTGCCCACACCGCCTCGAGGTGCCCCAGGTTGACTTTATAGCAATTTATGCAGACGCAGCTCAATATCTATATTATATATTATCGACTTTGAGGAAAAGTAATTTGCAAATTGAGTTTTTAAAAAAAAAGTTTATTTCATTACTTTTTGCTTTATTCGAGGATTGTTTTGATTTACATATCATAAATCGTTCTGTTTAGGAATATCGTCTTAAAAAGCGCAGAAAATTGTCTGAAATTTCTATTTTACTTGGCCTTCAACAAGTTACCATCTATTTGTAAAACGTTCCATAACAATAAAAGACAATTTCTGAAAAATGTTCATTTAAAATATTTGTTTCAAAGATTTTGAGTAGTGAATATATCTGACATTGTCCATTGCTAACGTTATATATATATATATATATATATATATATATATATATATATATATATATATATATATGTGTGTGTGTGTGTGTGTGTGTGTCTGTGTGTGTGTGAAATTCTAACTCATGTTCCTATCTATATTCCCATGCGTGTGTATCGATGCTTGCATATCAACATAAGTGTGTAAGTGTGCGCAAATTAACAACATCCCTAATGTAAATATATATTCACATTGCGGTTTTTATTCATCCATAAATACATATTTTTAGAATGATGTTCAGCCTGTATAAAACCCATGAACCCCTCAGAGTAAGCGGCACAGTTTATGCGGTTATGTGGAGACGACAACGATTAACCCTAGACTTGAACATGTTGTGTGTAGTGATCGGAGAATTCGTGGCATGGCGTTTTCTTAGCCGTGAAGGTTAGATACATATATATATATATATATATATATATATATATATATATATATATATATATATATATATATATAATTTAACAAATAAATAAATCCCCAAATTACCGCATATGAGGATTAGCTTATTTTGGCATACGATGATATCGGTCGTCTGTCTTATCAACACCGGTGTGGAATGGGTTCTTGTCTATAAAGTTAGATAAGACAGGAGAGTAGAATTTAACTATGAAACTTAACAATTCAATCCAAGACCAACTTACCGAAAATAATATATAGTTATACATTTCAATGTTTCAGTCAGACGAAAGGCAAAAGTCAGGGGTCAGGGAATGGGGGAAAGTATCTGTCTTAATGGAAATAAATTTTATTTAAGAAAAAACAAACGAATATTAACTCCATGACACCAATTTTAGGTTATATAAAAATGAATTTCTAATTTAAAAATTAAGGAGAGTATAAAATGATTCTAAAAATAAATTTAAAAAATTATATAGATAAAAGGATGCAAAGGATTAACAGAAAGAGAGTTAAGGAGATAATTCCAGTAGGAGAAAGTTTATAAATTATAATTGATATAGGATTAAAACGTTTCAGAGGTGAATCATTCCATATGGAAATTAGAATTTATTCTTGGTTTTCTGTCGACATTTGAAGAGTTTGTGGAGTGAACTTTTTTTAGCTAATTAAAGTAAATCTATATTATGGAAATATGGTAGCTAATTAAGTAAGAACTATATTATGGAATCCCCTTGAATCATATACCAACTGTTTTTTTCGTTTACTATATATATATATCTATATCTCTATATATATATATATGAAAATTTCTCCGATTTAACCAGTAGAGAAGACAATATTTATGAATAAAAAATGACAATAGGAAAACTGGTGACGTGTTTCTTCCTATGTGAACTTTTATCAAAAGCAAAATACGAATATATATATATATATATATATATATATATATATATATATATATATATATATATATATATATATTCGTATTTTGCGAAAAAATTTTTTTCCTATTTTGCTTTGATAAAGTCAACATTGGACGAAAAGCATCAGCAATTACTAGTTTTCCTATTGTCATTTATATATATATATATATATATATATATATATATATATATATATATATATATATATATATATATATATATAAAAAAAACAAATATATTAACTGCATCCACCTACAAAAAAAAAACTAAAAATAATGGAAGCTTTAATAATAAAAAGAAAAGCCAACTCTTAACAAAAGCCACAATGTGCTAACCGTATTCGGAAATTAAAACATCCCTACCACACACTAAGACATACACATAACGCACACACACAATTAAGCTGAAAAATCTAATCATCCTTGATAATGGCTAAAGGTATAGCCAAAGCGCTCGGAAATATAAAACATTTGGACAGTTCTTACACACCCTTTGTCCAGAAAAAGAAAGCTCTTTTTCGAACACAAGAAAAATTAAATAAAAAAAAGCTTAACCGTAGTACCCTGTCTGTCGTTTTTAATGAAACATGCATAAAGGAAGGATTGCTGCCTAAATATAACTAATATATATATATATATATATATATATATATATATATATATATATATATATATATATATATATATATTCATGTTTTATGCTCTCATTTACATACATATCTCTACGTTAGGAGAGATAGATAGATAGATAGATAGATAGATAGATAGATAGATAGATAGATAGATAGATAGATAGAAGCCTAACTAACATAGAGAGAGAGAGAGAGATGGGGTGAGAGAGAAAGAGAAAGAGACAGGGAGAGAGTGTGGGTGAGGGTGATAGAATTCTGCGGAACATGCAGACCTGAATCAATGTAGTGACGAATGACAGCCATAGGCAAAGAAGTTCCGTTACGTACCGCAGACATCACGAAGATCGTGTCAAATCCCTCGGCGTAGATTCTCAGACGATACAGACAGATATACCTTCTTATTAATCAGTCTTTGTTTCCATTATGATCTCCCAGCAAGCAATCTGAAAGCTCGGATTATCTACTAAGTAGATATTTTGCCGTTACTTTATGAATTAATTAATTCAGGAGTCTGTAAATTTAATAATGAAAGAAAAAAATCGAATAAAATTGAATTAATTATCACTCGAGTTTTGCTTGCTAGTTTTTATTTATTTCTAACCTGAATTTCAGTCATCTTAATTTCTCTTGCTTTTTATCGTATCCCCTTATTCATTCATCCTATAAGTCGTTGTTTCTCTTTATTTATTTATTTATTTATTATTATTATTATTATTATTATTATAATTATTATTATTATTATTACTACTTCTAATTTCTTTGATTTCTGGCGTTTACACATTTCTTTCCGTGTCCCGCTCAGGGACCTAAGATTAGAAATGGCATCATGACACTTTCCACTGACAAAAAAAAAAAAAACATAGATAAAGGCTCTAAGCATGTTCACTGTTTTCGCGGGAAAACAGCATAGCGTAAATGAAAAATGCCACAAACTTAACTAAAATAAAGTTTTATTGTCAAAATGCTTATGTTATTATTAAGATGAAAGACCAAAGTATTTTTTAATTATTTTTTGAAATTTTTTAATCCTTTCTAACACGTTCGATATTTTGGTTAAATTCTTCTTTTGTTTACGTCATCGTGGCGTCACAGAAAATAACTTATTTTTTTTTTTTTGCGATTTTTTTCCGTTGAAAACATATTGATTTGGAAATTCTTGTAAAAATCAAGTAATTGTCCGATTTTAATATTTTCAGGACTTATTCACAAATAAATGAAATTATTTTTGAAATATGTTTTTTTAGAAAATTTTGGTAAAAAATATATTTTTTAAAAATATGTTACCCTACATTTACTTAATTTAATGAAATTTCGCCCAAAACCTTTTTGGTTCCTGAATTTTTTTTTTTTTTTTTTTTTTTTTTTGTTAAAAGTAGGAGTCTTCGAAGATGGTAAATAACCTACTTTTTTTTTTCAAATTTGAGCTTTCTAACTGAAAATCTGCTCTGAATTGAAAAATAATGAATCCAGTAAAACTATGATATTACTTAATTAGAAAAGCTTTTAATTGCTTTTTGTAAATAAGTAATATTAAGGACATTATTGTCTGAAGAAATAATTTTTTTCTGATGAATAATTAATTTTACAAGAATTTTTTCGTTTTTAAGAAATTTTAATTATGATAATTTATAGTAGTTTAAAATCGTTCTGCATTTGAAGGGTTCCTCGAGATGATGTAGTAATTAAGTGGAAAAAAATTACGAGTCCAAAATTGCTAAGTTTAATAAATTTATTTAATACATTCCTTATTTCCATGTATGATATACAGAAACTGCCATTATTATAACAAGGTTCTAAGGTTTTGTCCTTTACTTGGCCTTTTTCATAACATTTCGTTTCTTACAGGTTGTATTTTCCGTTCATCTTTAAAAGTGTAAACTTTAAATTTAAAAGTAATTTTTCTTTTTTTTTCATTTACTATTTCACTAAATAATTTTATTTTATGTATTGTAATTCCATTAGTGTGTGTCATACTCAAATAGAATAATTTTTAAAAAACTCAGACTTAAAAAATATGTCATTTATGGTCATCAGTAGTAGTTCCATCGGTTCATCATTCAACAATCCATCAATAGTTCGATCAGATGAACAGAACCGCTCGTTAATAATTGGTTGTATATTATTTTTTAGCTATAAGTGATTAGAAAAATTTTTTTTAATTTTACTAAAATAACATGTCAGAATTTTTTTTAATACTTTCAAAATCGATAAATTTGTGTTTGTTTACAAATTTCTTAAAATTAAGAAAATGGCCGATTTTAAGAAAATTTAAAATTTTGAATTTATATTTGACAATCAAATGTATATAGTTTCTATCTGAAATACACCAGAATTGTTTAATTAATGGAAATAATAAATTTAACGATTAAACTTTTTTTAAAGCTAAAATAAAATCTTCAAAATGTTTTTTTCGTTGTAAAAAATCATTTTAAACTTAAATATAGAAAATTTATGCCGAAATAGTGGAGATACCTAGATAAAGCCCTTCGTAAAGTTCCCTTTTTTCGAGATTTCTATTTCAAGGTCCTTGTATTTTGACAGCTTTTTGAATATCTTCAAAGATACATTGCAGTCAAAGGGACTGCCATATCAATAAGGAGGCACCGTTTTGTTTGTGGTCTTTATTATTATTATTATTATTATTATTGTTATTATTATTATAATTTTCCTTGATTTCTGGTATATTCATTATTATTATTATTATTTCATCATCAATTCGATTTCTGCTATGGACACACTACCTACCAAGTCTGCGGAAAAGACCTAAGGCAGGTCGTGGTTTTTCAATGTTTTTTTTTTTTTTTTTTTTTTTTCCGATGAAGTTGCTTCACTTACATAACAAAGTTCTCCTTATTTTGCTGTACTTAATAAGACAATTTTCTGTATGTCTCTTAAGCTGGGGTTTCAGGGATTCTTTCAATGTGTTGTTTTGTTCCATTTTTATAATTCCAAGTGCACCTATTACCACTGGTATTATTCTTGTTTTCAATTTCCACATTTTTCTATTTCAATTTCCAGGTCTTTGTATTTTGATAGTTTTTCAAATTTTGGTTGCTATGTTAAATCCGCTGGACAAGACTTAGTAGGCAAACAATAATGTCCGGCCTATTTGCTTCAATTTTTCTGTTGTGTGGATGGTATAATCCCATGGTGACATCTTCTATTTCTGTAACCGGCGCTGGCCGATGTTCATACCAGTGTTTGCTTACACATTTTCCAAAGTGTTTGCACATTGTCCATCAATTATCTATCGTGACGATTTTATATTCATTTGGGGCAATTCATCCTGAGATTAGATGGTCTATTAGATTCATTCTTTGTGTAGGAGTTTGTTCCTCAGGCAGATTTTTCGACCTCAGGTAGGTTCCTCCTGAAGGACGGGCTCCCTGTTTATCCACTTTACTGGACGTTTTGTTTCTATTTTAATTTTTCATATTAATCCCACGAGTACGCACGGGTAAAAAGTCCAAAAGTTGCCCGGCACGTTGAACGGTCTTTTCCGAAATCAGACCTCATAACGCAGTAGCCATTCACTCCTCGGCACGATTAAACCTTGAGTTGCGGGTTGTTTTTTTCCTTCTCCTAAATTTAATAGACACAGACACGATTGGAAATCAAAGAGAATGACTAAAAAAAAAAAAAAAAAAAAAAGTTTACATTCGTTTGTCTTTGCTGTGAAATTTAAAAATAATTTATTGATCTGTAAATTCCACGATATTCCTTTAGAAAGATTGCATTTTCTTTTCATAAATTCATAAAATGTAATATGTAAATGTAAATTCCGTTTTTTTAAAGTCGTTGAAAATAGCTTTGTTTTTAAAAAAAAAAAAAAAAAAAATTCGTAGAAATTGTATCGTTTTTACCTGTAATGTTTTTTTTGCGGGGTGGATATTGAAAAACTAAGGGATATGTGAATGAGAAAAATTAAATAATTGATTAATCTATCAGTATTATTTAAAGGAGAACCAAATAAATTAAATAATAATAATACGAAGAAAAATTTCTTACGCTAAAATAGTAAAAATAACAAAATTTCATTTAAAAAAAAACTTAATCAACGAAACAAAACATCAAATTTTTATTAAATTTTAAAATTTTTTCCTTTTTTTTTCGCCATCACTAGTCCTAAAACAAAAATAATTCAAAAAAAAAATTAAAAGTTTTTTTCGTTTGTCTTTGGCGTGAAATTTAAAATCATTCCTTCTTAGAAAGATTGCATTTTCTTTTCATAAATTAAAATGTAATATGTAAATGTAAATTTTATTTTTAAAGTCGTTGAAATAGCGTTGTTTTTAAAAAAAAAAAAAAAAAAAAAAAATCCTTCTAAGAAAAAACATCGCCCTTCGTTTTTAAATGTTTTTTGCGGGTGGATATTGAAAACTTATGAATTTAAATAATTGATTAATCTATCAGTATTATTTTCCAATAAATTAAATAATAATAATATGAAGAAAAATTTTTACGCTAAAATAGTAAAAATAACAAAATTTCATATTTCAAAGAAACAGTCAAAACATCACTACACTAGAGAGTTTTATATTAAATTTTAATTTAATTTTTCCTTTTTTTTCGCCATCACTAGTCCTAGTAACAAAAAATAATTGTCATAAAAAAAAAATTAAAAGTTTACATTCGTTTATCTTTGCTGTGAAATTTAAGAATAATTTATTGGCCCATCTGTAAATCCCAATTTTTTCAAAGTCGTTGAAAATAGCGCTGTTGAAAAAAATACGCAATCCTTCTAAGAAAGAATATCGTAGAAATTGTATTGTTTTTACCTGTCATGTTTTTTTTTTTTTTTTTTTTTTTTTTTTTTTTTGGGGGATATTGAAAACTTATATGAATAAGAAAAATTAAATAATTGATTAATTATTATCATTTAAAGGAGAAACAAATAAATTAAATAATAATAATATTATGCTATTAAAATAGTAAAAATTGATTTCTATGCGTAAAAAAAAAAAAACGTTATTTGGAAGAGCATTCATTCTCGTTGTAATCCCAACCGCGTATTATTATTATTATTATTATTATTATTATTATTATTATTATTATTATTATTTTCTTTGATTTCTGGTGCATATTCACTATTATTATTATTATTATTATTATTATAATTATAAGTTTCTTTGATTTCTAGTGCATATTCATTATTATTATTATTATTATTATTATTATTATTATTATTATTATTATTATCTTTGATTTCTGGTGCATATATATTTTTTTTCGGATCCCAAACAAAGGCGTAAAGTCAAAATTGGCATCTTGACATTTCCAATTGAACATTTTTTGAGGAGAAAAAAAAACACCAGAGATACATATTTTACATAGATAAAGCCCCTCGTAAGGTGTGGGTTGTATTTGGGAGTACAATCTCTTTGCATTTCTTTAAGGCATGGCTGATCAGGAATCCCTTTAATGAGTCTACTGGAATCATTTTCCAATCAGTCCGACAGCTCCACCCACAACCGGAGTTGGTGATGTCCTCCTGCGTCATATTTATGAGATTTCGATTTCAAGATCCTTGTATTTTTGATAGTTTTTTTTATAATTTTTTTATTTATTTTTTTTTATTGGCACTCTATCAAAGGCTTTACGGAAATCTATCCATGCTCCTAACTCTTTTCCTGCAACTTTTCAGGATCATTTTGTTTATCAATAGTTAATCATTGCAATCATATGAACCTCTCCTGCGTCCCTTCATTTCAGGGGAATAATTGTTTTCTTCGAGAAAAGAGTAAGTACAGTTCGTTAGGACAAATGTGATCAATTTATACGTGGTTGACAGACATTTCAGACTATAATTTTTCAGGTAATCGTTTCACCCGTTTTTAGAAGGAGATATGTAATACCTCTCGTTATCTATTCTGGGATTTCATTGATAAGGGTTTTATGGATTGATGACAGATAATAGAGCTACCTTGTCACTTTCTGGGGATTTCATTTTTGGGATTTCGTTAGAGCTTGCCTAACGTAATTCTTGTTTATATTTTCCCATTTTTGTATTTTTCTTCTTCTCGTTGGATCTACTCTGCATTGGGATTATTATCGTTTGGGTACTATTATTATTATTATTATTATTATTATTATTATTATTGTCATAACTTGCTAAGCGTGTCTCTAATAACAGCGACAACGTGGTTTAGTCTGGTGACTTCTGTCTGTAGAAGCGATACTCCTGAATATTATTTACACGTACAAAATATGGCCGACACGGTACTTCCGTGTTTGAACAATATCTGAAACGAAGCTTCCGTTTCCTTAGTTCCACGTTACAACAATTATTATTATTATTATTATTATTATTATTATTATTATTATTATTATTATTATTCCAGTGTCCCTTAGTCTATGGTATACCCTATCATTACCTCAGATAAGGAATGCGCCATACCTGTAGGATTACGAGGACAGCCGGAAGAAAATTCTTCTTTTTTGGTTTGCTTTTTAGCTACAGAAACAACAAAATAAAGAAAGAAAGAAAGAAAGACAGACAGACAGACAGACAGACAGACAGATACACAGAATGAAAGAAAGGGTGATAACACTCTCATATGATTAACATCTGCTTCAGGGAAATGGTAATCCTTACTAATTTAATTTTTTTCATTTTTACCTTCTTACTTCTTAAAATAATGACCGGAATTTATATTAATGTTTATTGTTGCAATATTTCCTTAACTATGCTCAGATTAAAAATATTTAACGAGGCAAGGGCGGAAAATTCCATTAACTTAAAATTAAGATTCAACACGAAGTTTAAATAGTAAAACCGGGAAATGTTCACGGGTATTGATAGTTATTATTATTTCAGTAGTAGTAGTAGTAGTAGTAGTAGTAGTAGTCTTAATATGGTTTGCGTGAGGAGTAATGGTTAGCGCTTCGGAACGAGAAATCAGCGAACTGAAGTCGAATTCTAGTCGAGTTCGTTACACGCACTTTCGTGCATATTCAATTGGAAAAGCTATGAATCTGTCACTTCTCTCCACACCATCTATTGGTCAAACAGTAGAGAAGACTGAAGACTGAGAAGACTCAAAACCGGGAGAGACTTGGGCTAATAACCCCAACTCGTGAAACGAAAATCTACTTGCTATGGAATCCACAGTAACGTCGTCTAGCGTGTTGAGGCTACGGTCGTATATTCCACATTTGGATGGGAGTGGACAGGGCTTGAGAAAGAAAGAAAGAAAGAAAGAAAGAAAGAAAGAAAGAAAGAAAGAAAGAAAGATGGATATAAAAAGATAGATAGAGAGAGAAAGGATAGGGAGAAACAGGTAGAGAAAGAAGGACAGGGAGATTCGAACAACTAGAACAAAGTGATGTAGATTTTATAACCGATTTCCCAAGGCTTAACAAATATTCAATGTGCACACAACCTGTGACACTACACACGTTAATTTTTTAGTCCAGCTCCTACCAAATACGTTGTAGCATGTTTTATGTAGCATTCTCTAGTGCCTCAATGATTCTCTGCTTAAGTTCCTCTCGGTTTGTAGGAATTGGGGGGTATGGACCATTTACATAGCTGATAGAAAAAAAATCACAAGATGTCAAGTCAGGTGAAGGAGGTGGCCATTTCAACATAACATTGTCATTATCAATGGTACGCCCGATCTATCTTTCTGCCAGATTCTCATTTAGATTATGAGATACAGTTTGAGAAGTGTGTATCAGGCACAAATCATTAGAGCCAAATGGTCTTCGGTAGTCTCAAGCATCATGCATAAAAATCCAAACATCTCGACACACGGCTATGATACCCCCTTGCAACGTCCATTCATGAATAGAGATTTATTGTGTGTCAGACTTGGGAATTCGTTTGTCATGGACGACGCTGTATCAGTTTGGTCACGGAATAGAGTTCACAAGTGAAATTCAAATTTACTCAGATAGATAAAAAGATATTTTTTGTTTACGATTGGTGATGCGTATAATAATTTAAGCCATCGATAAAAAAAATAACTAAAAAAAAATCATTAAAAATAATAAAAAAAAGATTCACTTAGAAGAGCTAGCAAAAGCCTACTATCTTTATTATTTATTTGTTTTCATTTGGAAAATATCATTTCATTCTCCTTCTTAGTGTCAACAGCAGCATTTTCGAAACTGACATCAGCACAAACAAATTCCTGAGCGACAAACAATATGGTTTTAGCACCTCCTCTCCACTGCTGATGTTTTAATTATCATCATGCAGAAAAGCAGTGAAATGCATGGCAATAAACACACCTCGAAGGCCATTGAGAAGGTGTGATTAGAGGGTTGCTATAAAAATACTCTAACCATCGAATCTATTCTCGGTTATCAAGCTTTTCCTATCATATAGGACTATGAATGTCGTTGTTATTAGCCAGTCCTCTGAAGTACAAATATCACTTCTTATTAATCAGTCTTCGTTTTCGTCATGATCTTCAAGCAAGTAATCAGGAAATTCGGATTATCTACAAAGGAGATTATAAATAATTATTTCAGGAGTCTGTAAATACACTAATCCCAGAACAAAATAGAATCAAACTGAATTTATTATTACTCGAATAATGGTTACTATTTCTCAGACAATGCTGTCATTCCTCTTTTACCTATCGTCTTTCTGCTTTACATTAAGTATATGCTGAAAAGCATTCACAGAACTCTAGAAAATATAAATACTGATGTGCCAATCTACCTGACCAGAGCCTGGCAGATTTTCTCTTTGCAGCTTATCTCACGTCTTAAAGGATGGTTTGTATTAACGATATCGCCAAAACAAAGCTTTCAACGTTTAATTACAAGCGAACAGACCCTAGATTTACTCCAGTCCCTGTGAAGCTTCTCAATCAGGCTTCTTGACTCAAATGTCGCTTGAGATTAAAGTTCTCTTGAGGCCTCAATTGGAACGCGTATATTCGTGTCATCGTTCGTGTCAGAATGTTAGGTTCCTCATACTGCTCCAGAAAGTATCTAACACCTGTTGCCAATGCTCTCACAATGCAAGTGTCAGATCTGAACATGAAATGAGTAATGTTTCCCGCCATGAGACCCCTATCACAAAGGCAAAACGTTGCAAGTCGCTTGCTACTCTATCTCTGTTAATATGGACAAAATCAAAGCCAGCTTAATTGCATGCTTCCAACAGACTAGGCCTTCAAAACTACAACAAATTATATCATCTAAATGGCGTTAAATGATCATCATTCCGTTCGTATTCTTTAAGCAAAGAGTAAGTTCCACTCAGACAGCTTCTTCAGCGAAGTTCATATAAGACTGGTCAAGGAGGGAGTAAGATGATATGTAGGATAGATAACGCTGGGCGCTAGATTTGGGGAGATAAATATTGTAGTGATCGGGTAATCATCATTTCGGGAACCTGTAGCAATTCTGGGCAAGAAGATGTCTGAGTGGAACTTCTCCCTCACTAATGGAATATGAAGGGGACGAGGATGAGTCGACTCTTTGTACGCGGCAAGGCGGTTTCCAGCTGTAAATGTCTGTAATGGCGGAACCGAAGAATGCAGATTGCGCAAATATCTTCCATGAAAACAGTAATAAGGTAGCGAGGGACAATCAAAGATTAGTTTATAGGAAAGTGGTTGTAGGGTGGAAGATATTCGATCACCCTGAACACCGCGTAAACTCAGCCACAAATTGAAAAGGGGAATTGGGCAGCTCCGGCCCAGATAGCCCAGCAATACTCCATCGTTTCTTGTATAGAAAGAACAGGGAAGTAGGAAGTAGAGTCGGTAAATTTCTATAGGAAACGAACCAAATATACTTCAAGAAGGTTTAGAGTTGGTAGAATAACCAAATATTTTTAAGTATCTTTAGAGATGATACGAATATATTTATGCTACTTTAGGTAAAGATCAACTTGAGTCCAAATAGATGTTCCAGTCTAGTAACCTCAATGAGAGCACAACATTTCATCATGATTGGTGAAAACTAAGAGTCTGGTCTGTAGTGATGATTTCGTTTTGGACAAACCATTTTCTTCTTCCACACTTGATCTGAGCTAGCAAGATCAGAGGGAAAATATCTACTAGCCTCTGGTTACCGA